CTGCCCCCACTCACACTGACAGCCCAGCCCAATATAACCCTATGAGCACATGCGAGGTGACATTTGAGACAACTCACAGTTCACCGTGCAATCCCATGCTTGCTCATATCGCTCCTTCCCACCGACCCACCCACTGACAGGCTACCATAACCTTCTGACCACCAGCTGTCCTCAGACCACAATATTACGACTTGTCATTTCCTGCTACTCACCTGACACTTTGCTATTTTCAACCCCACTATCTGCATGCACCCCCCTCAACCTGCCTAACCCGTGCCTGTACTGTTGTCTTTCTCGTTTCTATTGTGCCTATTTATTCTCCATGTGTCTTTATGCTCCTCTGAATTCGTTTCTGGAACTCCTGTGGTGTGGGGTCAGCTTTGACCCTGGGTCGCATGGCTCGTCTCAAGCACGTGCTTCCATGCGAGGATCCTTGACTGCCTGTAGTTTGCTGATGTCGTACTTGGTACGGTAACTGTTGCATGTAAACCACTGTGATGATAAGTCTCAGACCTTTCCTTCAGTGTTCCAGTGAATCCTGTAATGCAGCTCCTGGGGAGCAGGTTGTGAGAATGTTCCAGGTCACCTTGCATTGCAATATCCTGCACATGAAAGCATACTTTAGCAGCAGCACAAGTTGCAACGTAGTACGGTAACTGGAAATATTGAAGCAAGGAATAACTGGGCCAAGCAGCTGTGCCAATATATCCAGCCAAGGAGTCATGTCCTGTGTCTAGCTAACCAGCCATCCACCATCCTGTACTCTCGTGAACCCTGTGCTGCTGCAATATGTGCGAGTTTGATCATTATAATGACGTGCATTCCTGGCACAAGGAAGATTACAAGCTGCTGTAAATCCTCAAAGCTGTGAATATGGTAATTTCATAACATTAGAAAAAGACGGCTCCGCCACTCTGTTAGGTGCATCAGATGGAAACATGTAAGGCGGGGGAGGGGGAAGGAAGGGGGGGGAAGGAAGGGGGGGGAAGGAAGGGGGGGGAAGGACGGGGAAGGGTGGGGGGTTCAGTCAGAGGGTGGTAACGGTAACCAGGACAAAAGGAAACAAAAGGGAAAGAACACCACGGAAATTAATGGGGTTGCTTATCTTAATAATACAGATGGTGGAGATATCTTGCAATGGATGACCTGAACGGACAACATGACTTATCATTCTCAGGTGCCTTGCCATTATCAGGTCAAAGTCTTGCCATTACCAGGCCAATGTCTTAGCATTATCAGGTCATGCCTAACCATTATTAGGTCAATATCTTGCCATTATCAGGTCAATGTCTCGCCATTACCAGGTCAATGTCTTACCATTATCAGGCCAATGTCTCACCATTATCAGGTCAATGTCTTACCATTATCAGGACAATGTCTCACCATTATCAGGTCAATGTCTTGCCTCATGCCTAACCATAATCAGGTCAATATCTTACCATTATCAGGTCGATGTCTTACCATTATCAGGTCAACGTCTTACCATTATCAGGTCAACGTCTTACCATTATCAGGTCAATCTCTTCGTCTGTCATAGGCTTCCGTCGAGGTTGCAAACTTGCTGCTAGAGGCCCCGGTTTCTTAGGATTCGTCTTCGGTACGGCACTCACACCAAAGCTGGAAACCGCTATGGATTCTATTACCGGAGCTGCTTGTGAGGAGGATGAAGAAGAGCTGGCAACGGGAGCGGAATATTTGTGTGACGTGGCTGGTGTTGGCGGTTTTGAGGATGCTCCTGCTGGTGCTTGTGCTGGTGCTGATGTAAATTGTTGAGGCGAAGGGGTATTTTTATGGGACGTTTGTGCAGCTGCTGGTGTTGGAGCTGAGACTGAAGGCAGGAAATGGACACGTTGAAGGAAAGGAGGACATCAATCAGCATGAACGCAATGGGGAGACGGTACGGGAAGGAAATGGCGAAAGCAGGATGATGCTGAGCATGGCGAAAGCAAGGTGTCGGCGCAACAATACGACGCTCACCTCGAGACCGGATTGGGAACTTGATCATTGGAATGCGTTTTGCCATGGTGACAAGGTTGCGAAAAAAGTAACCTACAGATGGCTGAGTTGTTATGCTGGCAGCTAACGAACTAAGCTCAGAATATGCTTGGCACGTCAGATAGAGCGCGAAACAAGAGCGTGATGAAGGCCTACGTAGAGCACATTCTACGTCAACGACTTTGCCCGAGAGGCAACCCTAAAATTTCAGTATACACGAGATGCGAGTGGGAAGTAGCGACAACGGTGGAAAAACCAGGTACCAGAGAAATAGTGAACACGATACTACTACTTTACGCTACTACAGTGTTTCTAAGTAACATGGACTCCTGGACATAGAAGTATGGCCGTGGTCTATCTTCGTGACGGAATACACGGTCTGGAGACTAAATATTTTCCTACGGAATTCAGAACCAGAAAGTCTTGTTAAAATAATCCCAGGTAGCCTCGGAAACTCCCACTAAAGAGGGGGTTCTTTTGGGGACAACAAGCTCAGTGCGCAGGCTCAGTTTCAATTCAGTTTGCAAGTCTTTTGCGTGTTGCGAAGAGCATGAAATTCAAACCCACCTCAGAAAAGTTTGCCCTTCGCAACTGGGGAAGTCAGCTTCGACCTAAACATGTTTTTGGCAAGACAGGCCCAAAGGGCTCCCTCTGTAGATATATTAGTAACAATCGGGTAAATCACCCCGTTAGTACCTCCGTCTTCCCTCGCAGTGTGATTCTCACTTGGAATCGAAGCTCGACTCTTCCTCCTCTACCAAGGACTCTTCCCTTACTGAAATCATCCCGTTTTATTATTCTTTCAAGAACACTCTGGCACTGCTTCTTGATCCTCCTTCACCAGTAAATCCCGGTCTCTTAAGCCAGCAGCCATGGGTGAGCGGAAGGTCCTCAACAAGTACTACCCGCCGGACTTCGATCCGTCGAAGATTCCGAAGCGCATCCCACTGAAAAATGAGCAGATGAAAGTTCGCATGATGCTTCCTATGAGCATTCGATGCAACACCTGCGGGACGTACATGTACAAGGGGACGAAATTCAACTGCCGAAAAGAGGACGTCGTGGGGGATACTTACCTCGGTCTTTTGAAATTCCGCTTCTATTTCAAGTGTACGAAGTGCTCCGCTGAGATGGTCATGAAGACGGATCCTAAGAATAGCGACTACGAGATGGAATCGGGAGCTTCCAGAAACTTCGAGCCATGGCGAGCGTCGGACGAGCAGAAGGCGACCGCGAAGCGGCAGCGCGAGGAGGAAGAAATGGGCGACGCGATGCGCGCGCTCGAGAATCGAACCCTCGACTCCAAGATGGAAATGGACATTCTCGCAGCCTTGGACGAAATGAAATCCATGCGCGCGCGACAAGCAACCCTCGATCCAGCAGCGGTTCTGGAGGTGCTTCAAAGATCGGCCGGCGGAGCTGGTGGGAGCGGAGGAGGAGTGTTAGCGGATCCGAAACAACTAACGGAAGAAGACGAGGAGCTGATTAAGAAGATAGTATTCAGAAAATCGGAGAAGTTTGTAAAGAGGATAGACAGTGACGAGGAGGATGAGGGGGGAGAAGGCGATGGAGCTGAAGCCAGTAACAAGGATCAGCAAGGAGGGGTTAAAAGGGCTCGTATTGCCGCCAATGGAGACGAAGCTGAAGCAGGCGGTGGTGATGTTCCGGGTGATAATGGTAAAGCCATGAGCTCGAGAGAACCATCGGCTGTTGCGGGAGGGGTTAAGGCAGCATCAGCAACTCAAGATGAAGCAGCGGCAGCAGGAGGCTCAGGAGCAGCAGGGGAAGCAGCAGCAGCAACAAGTTCAGCCTTTGAAACTCGACGGAGCAGATTTGTTCAGGAGGACCCTCGGCCGGCCTTCGAAGCCAAGCCTGTGAAGGTGGCGTTTATGGTGAAGGCAAAGAGCAAGGTGCCAGACAAGGCGACAGTGCCAATCAAAGATGCAGGGAAAGTGCCATTGGCGAGCAGGGATTCTAGAGGAAATTCTGGAGCTGAAATTGCTGGAGGCAATGCTGATGGTTCAGGGGGTTCCAGTGCTGGTGGCTTGCAGAGAGATGACGAGGAGAAGGGGAAAGCTGCGTTAACCAACTTGTTTTCAACCTATGGTTCTGATGATGATGACGAGGATGAGTAAGAAGAAGGGTCAAAAGGTGGAAAAAAATGTTGGGGTGTTGCAAGGAAGGGGGGAGGTGGGGGCCCGGGGGGTTCCTCTCATAAGGTATTCAGCCCAAGCTTTGTTCCTTTCATTACTAAGAAAATGTCAGATTATTCTTTCCCTGATTGTTGTTCTTTATACCACTAGCTGATGCAATGAATGACACGTTATTGCATATGTTCATACATGTGCCATTAGTCACAACTATTGTATGTACTCTCATCTCATTCAGTTGCATTACAGGTATTCAGAAGAGAAGCTGTAGTGTGGAAATAACAATTACACAAAGAATCCATAAACACTCACATCACAAATCTCCTCTACACCCATCCAATTCAGCAAGCCTAGCGATACCGTACTTGACTGCCATTGCGAGTGTGGCAGAAGCAAAGAGGGCCATGAACCATGACAGCTTGGTAGTGAAACTGACTAGCACTGCCAGACCTACAGTGTAAGCACATCGAGGGAACTTCGCTGCTCCACTTATACCGGTACTACTAACTTTGTTGTTCTGAAGTACGCTCAGCACTACATGTACTCACATATGCACCATCTGTATTCGCGCGCGCACACACATTGTAACACCACACTATGTCAATGCACTGTATCACTGCACAGTTAATGCACTATATTTCTCAATTGCAGCACTGCACTGTATCGCCCCACTGAATGAGTGTACCATGTGAATGCAAGCGCTGTCCGAACGCTTAGCGCAGGGCCTGGGTGTTAGCATTGCGCTTCGGAGGCAGCTTGCGCAGAATGTAGAGCACCAGGGCGGCTGGGATGAGCTCCACACACTGGTGAAGGGGGGGAACGGGAGGGGAACATGGACAAGAGGGGAGCAGTGGGTCATGACGTCAGGTGGCAGCACGGAATGTAGAGCAGCAGCGCTGCTGGGATGAGCTCCACACACTGGTGAGCGAGAAAGGAGGGGGAACAGGGAGAAGAGGGAGAAGAGGGGGGTGATGGGGGCATAACGTCAGGTGGGAGCGAGGCAGCTTGCGCAGAATGTAGAGCACCAGGGCTGCTGGGGTGAGCTCCACGCACTGGGGAAGGTGAGAGGACGGGGTGGGAGGGAAATTGTGAGTAGGGAAGGAGACGGGAAGGGGATGAAGTGCACACACTGGGGGAGAACGAGGAGGCATGCACACAGACGAGGAGGCATGCACACAGACGAGGAGGCATGCACGCAGACGAGGAGGCATGCACGCAGACGAGGAGGCATGCACACAGACGAGGAGGCATGCACACAGACGAGGAGGCATGCACACAGACGAGGAGGCATGCACACAGACGAGGAGGCATGCACACAGACGAGGAGGCATGCACACAGACGAGGAGGCATGCACGCAGACGAGGAGGCATGCACACAGACGAGGAGGCATGCACACAGACGAGGAGGCATGCACACAGACGAGGAGGCATGCACACAGACGAGGAGGCATGCACGCAGACGAGGAAGAGAACGCAGAGGAAGAGAGAGGCCAGAGAAGGGAAGAGAGCAGAGGCAGAGAGGGAGAGCAGATAAGGAGAGAGGGGGGAAAAGGAGCACGGGCTGCTCAATTGAATCATGCCAGCGCTGCTGACATGGGCTGCTGCTGCTACGATGTGGGGTTGCTGGGATGTGGTGGGTACAGGGGCGTGTGGGTGTACGGACATGTGGGTGCAGTGCAGAGGAGCAACGCGGGTAAAAGCGGCGGCTTACAGCATAGTAGGCGACATTGACCCATGGGTCTGCCACCACGTCCAGCCAATTTGGGGAGGATTGTGAAACAACAGGCGTGTGGGTGCAGTGCAGGGGCATGTGGGTGCGGGGGAAGGGGGTGGCTCTTACGGCATAGTAGGCGACGTTGACCCATGGGTCTGCCACCACGTCCAGCCAATTTGGGGAGGATCGTGAAACAACAGGCGTGTGGGTGCGGTGCAGGGGCATGTGGGTGCGGTGCAGGGGCATGTGGGTGCAGGGGAAGGGGGTGGGGCTTACAGCATAGTAGGCGACGTTGACCCATGGGTCTGCCACCACGTCCAGCCATGCCGTGCTCACAATGGCTGAATAAGCGATCTGAATAATAAAAGGGATGAAAGGGTGGGAAAGCAGGCGGGAGGAAGTTAGAGAAGAGGGAGACGTTGAGCCAGGGGTCCTCCACCACGCTCAGCCATGCCGTGCTCACAACCGCTGAATAGGCGATCTGAATTGACACAGAGAGGGAGGGGGAAATAGGGAGGGATGTTGCAACAACAGGCAATGTGGTCCACCCAGGGGTCTGCCACCACGTCCAGCCATGCCGTGCTCACAACCGCTGAATAGGCGATCTGCGTTGATGCATCAGAAAAGGGGGGTAGGGCGCAGGATGAGAGTGCGGAAAGAGGGGGAGTGAAGAGGGAGGGAAGGGGAATAGGACGGAAGGGGAAATGTTGGACAAGTCGGCAACGTTGACCCAGGGGCCCTCCACCACGACCAACCACGCCGTACTCATGCGGGCTGAATAGGCAATCTGAATTGACAGAGAGAGGGAGGGGGAAATAGAGGGGGATGTAACAACAGGCAATGTGGCCCACCCAGGGGCCCTCCACCACGCCCAGCCATTCCGTACTCATGCGGGCTGGACTGGCGATCTGCGTTAGTGGATACATACAAGGGGGAAGAGGGCAGGGGAGGGGAAGATGGCAGGGGAGAGAGGGCGGGGAAAGAGAGCGGGGAAAGAGGGCAGGGGAAACGGAGGAGTGAAGAGGGAAGGCAATGCGGAAATACGGGGGAGGGGGGATGCTTTGATAGTAAGAAACGTTGACCCACCCAGGGGTGTTCAACGACGTTCATTCAGCCAAGCTGTGTTAACAAGAGCTGACTTTTGAGTCGACTCAAAAGCCAAGCAATGTTAACAAGAGCTGAAAACGTGATCTGAGGTGTGAGGTGTGATCTGAGTCAGTCAAGCAGGTGGCGGAGGGGGAGGCACGGGGAAACACGTATGCAGCATATGATGCAGCAGCAACGGCAGCAGCAGCAGCAGCAGCAGCAGGACTCGTGATGCATTGCGTGCTGCCCTGATGCGGCCCCCATGCGGGCCTCAAGCGGCCCCCATGCTGCCCCCATGCTGCCCCCATGCTGTTCCCATGCTGCCCCCATGCTGCCCCCATGCTGTTCCCATGCTGCCCCCATGCTGCCCCCATGCTGCCCTCATGCTGCCCCCATGCTGCCCTCATGCTGCCCCCATGCTGCCCCCATGCTGCCCCCATGCTGTTCCCATGCTGCCCCCATGCTGCCCCCATGCTGTTCCCATGCTGCCCCCATGCTGCCCCCATGCTGCCCTCATGCTGCCCCCATGCTGCCCTCATGCTGCCCCCATGCTGCCCCCCATGCTGCCCCATGCTGCCCCCCATGCTGCCCCATGCTGCCCCACATGCTGCCCCTCATGCTGTCCCCATAATTGCCCCACAATGCATGGAGCACAGCTCAAATTCTTCATGTGGTGTGGCACACCTCGGGTGCAGCAGCACTCACCACGGCTGCTCGAACGATGAAGCAGGAGAAGCAGATGAGAGTCACGAAGCCAACCTGCAGGCGAACACAGGCGAACACAGGCGAACATAGGCGAATACAGGGTAACAAAGGGTAACACACACAGGGAAGCACAGAGGGGCACACGCGAACGGCCTGTGAATGGGAGGGGAGAGCTGATAATCCCACTAAAGCAATTGAAGCAAGCACGTGATAATAAATCGTAGACTTGCGAAAGAAAAAAAAACAAAAAAAACCAGAAATAAGGTGATCCCAAAACCTCATGCAACAAGAAATCACTCACCTCATGAAGCTTCTTTCTACGACCCCTTGACTCAATGGGGAACTGCCGCAGCATGAGGAAGAGCCTGATAGGAGGAGAAAAGAGGGGGAGGGGAAACGAGGGGGAGGGGAAACGAGGGGGAGGGGAAACGAGGGGGACGGGAGAGGAGGGAAGCGGGGAAGGTGGGGGAGGGGGCAGGGGAGGGACTTAATGGGGAACTGTTGTAGCATGAGCAAGTGCCTGAGGGTAAGAGGGGAAGCGGGGTGGGAGGAGTGAAGGAGCGACGGAGGAAAGGCGAGTGGGCAATGAGGGGAGGTGTGGCAAGGTGCAATGCCGCGAAGGTGACAGTGCAATCTGGAAAGGAGGAACTATTCTAAAGGCGTCCCAATGAAGCGCTTCACAAGCCAAAGTGCACAGCGGAGGTGAGACTACGAGGTACAGAGAGGGAAAGTATGGCAGGAAAGGGATGTGGAGGGGGAGGGGAGGAGGGTAGAGTGGAGAAGGGGGGGGGGACAAGGTGCAGCTCGCTGCTCCCTCTCACACCTCACACCATCGTACCTGCCGCCATACAGCAGAAAGCCTGCTGCTGCTGCTAGCGAGACAGCTGCAATGGGAGGCGAGGGCGGGGCCGGGGTGAAAGAACAAGGTAAAGAATTTGAAAAGGGGAAGGGCATAGGGCGGTGGAGTGGAAATGGGTACAACGGGGAGAGAGGAGTGGGGGGTGAAGGAGGATAGGAGGGAGAGCGGAAGGGAGAGATGGGGGTGGGGGACGGTTGTCTGGGGGAAGGGAGGTGGGTTGATGTAGGGGCACGGAAAAGGGCGGGGGCGACATGGAGCAAAGAGGAACGCAATGCAACATGAACCAGAATAGTGAAAGAAAATTCCTACAGGTGCCAATGGGAGAGGAGTGCACAACTGGCCAGTAAAGAAGAGCTAGGCAATTAGGTCGGCTGTGAGCATGTGCTGGTGTGTATGAGTCGAGTCAAGACAGGGCTTGAAACAAAGCAATGAGAGAGGGTGGGTGCAACTGACCGGTAAAGAAGAGCTTGGCGATGAGGTCGATTGTGAGCATGTCCTTGTGGTCGAACCACATGACTCCCCAGATGGCCGCCTGGGGGGGCGAGAGTCGAGACAGCAGGGAGGAGAGACGGGGTACAGAGAACACGAATTGAGCTGCGTAAGGGGCCTGTCAGAGAGAGGTCGATTGTGAGCATGTCCTTGTGGTCGATCCACATGACTCCCCAGATGGCCGCCTGAGTCGAGGGGAGAGGGCGGGGAGATGGGAGGGAGGTGAGAAAAGGGGTGCAATGAGCGGCAGAGAACATAGAGGTTGTGGTCGATTGTGAGCATGTCCTTGTGGTCGAACCACATGACTCCCCAGATAGCCGCCTGAAGAGGAGACACGGTCACACGGGAGAGCAGAGGAGAGGAGAGGGGAGGTGAGGAGAGGAGAGGAGAAGAGGAAGATGAGAGAAGGGTGCGAGGGGCAACAGGGAATACAGAAGGAGGGTGGCGGAAGAGGGGGGTGTGACAGAGGGAGGTTGATAGTGAGGGCGTTCCTTGTGGTCGAACCACCTGACACTCCAGATGGCCGCCTGAAGAGGAGACACGGTCACACGGGAGAGGAGGGAGCGAGAGAAGGGTGCAAAGGGCGACAGTGAGGGCGACAGTGAGGGCGACAGTGAGAGCGACAGTGAGGGCGACAGTGAGAGCGACAGTGAGGGCGACAGTGAGAGCGACAGTGAGAGCGACAGTGAGGGCGACAGTGAGAGTGACAGTGAGAGCGACAGTGAGGGCGTTCCTTGTGGTCGAACCACCCACATGACACCCCAGATGGCCGCCTGGAAACATAGAGAGGAGTGGAAGAACAGATATCACTCCATATGATACGAAGGGACAGAAGGGGGAGGAGGGGGTCGACGCACGGTAGGTAGGTACTACTACAACATGACCACAGAACATGAGAATACCTCACAGCTCCCCTCTGAACCGCACCAGACTCCTCAGAACCCTCACCTGCAGCACGTAGACGCCAACGTTGGCCGCCATGAAGTACGGCCGCAGGTTGTCTGTGGGCAGGCCGCGCGCCTGAAAGGAGAGGAGGGGAGGGGGGGAGGAAGGGGAGGCGGGGAGGGGGAGGGGAGGGAATATGAGGTGTCTGAAGAACGGCCGCCATGAAGTACGGGCGCAGGTTGTCTGTGGGCAGGCCGCGCGCCTGGAGAAAGGGGAGAAAGAGGGGGGGGAGAGAATGGGAATAGCCTCTGAGTCGACAGCAACGTTGGCCGCCATGAAGTACGGCCGCAGGTTGTCCGTGGGCAGGCCGCGCGCCTGAAAGGAGAGGGGGGGGGGGGGGGGGGGGGGGGGGGGGGTGTTGGGGGTGTTTGAGGGGGAGGGAGGAAGGGAGTGCAGGAGAAATACTTGAGTCCACTGCAATGTTATCATGAGGTACGGCCGCAGGTTGTCCGTGGGCACGCGCCTGAAACGGGGTGAAGGGAAAGGGGGTGGGGTGAGGGAGGGGGAGGGGGGGGGGGGGAGAGCGGGAGAAACTTTCGAGTCAATTGCAATGTTGCCATGAAATACGGCCGCAGGTTGTCTGTGGGCAGGCCGCGCACCTGAAAAGGGGAAATGCAAGTAGGGGGCGAACGGGAAAGAGGAAGGGAAGGGAAATTGCGTGTCTTAGTTGCGGCCGCCTTGAAGTGCTGCCGCAGGTTGTCCGTTGGCAGGCCGCACGCCTGGACGCGGGAGAAAAGGGGGGAAAGGAGGGGGGAGCGGGGAGGAAGCGAGCGGAAGAAACTTTTGCACAAACTGCAATGTTACAATGAAGTACGGCCGCAGGTTGCCCGTGGGCAGGCCGCGCGCCTGAATGGGGGGAAAGGGTGGGGAGGGGGAGGAAAGGGAGGGGGGAGGGGGGGGAGGAGAAACAAGAGTGTGGAGGGAATGAAACAGGTAACTTTGAGTCGACTCCGAATTTACCACGAAACACGGCCGCAGAATCTCTGTTAGAATGCTACGCTGCGAGCCTGAAATGCGGTGCAGAGGGGAAATATACACGTAACGTAACAGCGGACATGAAAATGGAAATGGAAAGAGAGGACAACAACAGATTGAGAAGAGGTACACAAGGCGATCAGCTGTAAGACACAAGCTATGGGAAAATAATCAGGTGCAAAAAAAATACACAGCATGACACATGCTTGTATCAGAAGAGTGCAAGAACGTTCGTAGCTAATTGGATGGAGCGGCGAGAGGTAGAAGAGGAAGAAGAAGAAAACAAAGGTTTGATAAACGGTTTAATGTTCACCTGGTGGTAGATTTCGGCCCAGAAGAGTACGAGCAGGGTGTAGGTGGTAAAGAAGAGAAGACCGGGGAGGTCCAGAAGCACATGTGCGAATACCTGAGTAGCACAAGAGAACAGGAAAGGGGGGATTGGGTTGAAAGGAGAAGTGGAGAGGGGGGGGAAGGGATTCATGACTCAGAGAGGTAAGACAAACGGAGAAGAGGAAATCGAAAGCCAGAGACAAGTGGGAAACAGCTGTGTGCGGGCGGGCGGGACACGGGATCATGAAGTCATACTAACATGGGCACAGCACATCAATCAGGATTCTTTGACTCGCGACTCACATGGTTGGGACCTGTGCTTAGGACCTCCACCTCCTCGCACTGAAGCAACAAGTTCTAGCAACAAGTACTGACATGACCACGCGTCAATCCATTATCCAGGCACACTCACATGGTTGGGACTCGCGACTCACATGGTTGGGACTCGCGACTCACATGGTTGGGACTCGCGACTCACATGGTTGGGACTCGCGACTCACATGGTTGGGACTCGCGACTCACATGGTTGGGACTCGCGACTCACATGGTTGGGACTCGCGACTCACATGGTTGGGACTCGCGACTCACATGGTTGGGACTCGCGAATCACATGGTTGGGACTCGCGACTCACATGGTTGGGACTCGCGACTCACATGGTTGGGACTCGCGACTCACATGGTTGGGACCTGTGCTTAGGACCTCCACCTCCTCGCGGAAGAGAAACACCACGGCTCGCACTGCAGAGGGAAAGGCGAGAGAAGAAAATAAATGAAGAATCGGATCGGAACGAAGCGGCAATACGTCAGAGTGAGAACTGAGTGCGAGTGAATGAGTGCAGAAGTGAGAGCTACAGCGCGACGGAGGCGACGACGGCAAAACGACGGCGACGGCGACGTACAGGCATTGACGACGAAGATGAGAAGGTGGAAGACCTTCTGCGTCGTCCAACCGTAGAGCCGTTGGGTAAACATCCATAACGTACGGGCATTACAAGGTGGTAACCACATAGCGATAACGACAACGACGACGGCGGCGACGACGGCGACGACGACGACGACGACGACGTACAGGCATTGACGACGAAGTTGAGGAGGTGGAAGACCTTCTGCGTCGTCCAGCCGTATAGCCGTAACTTACGGGCATTACGAGGTGATAAATACACAGAGATAACGAGGACCGCGACGTACAGGCATTGACGACGAAGTTGAGAAGGTGGAAGACCTTTTGCGTGGTCCAGCCGTACTCCGGCACTCTGCGCTGAATGCGAATGAGCTGGATCTGAAACCGGGAGAATGATGTAAATGCAATAAACGGATACGAACGAAAAGAGAAGCCACTATAATGAGAACGGAAATTAGATTTAAAGGAGCATCCAATGCCAGGAGCTAGTGGAGGTGAGGCTAGATGTCACACGAGGCCCATCAGTCGGTGAAACCGGCAGTTGAGAGAGCCGGCGATAGCCGTCGATGTAGACTGGTAGACAGCCGACGATAGCCGGCGATAGCCGTCGATGTAGACTGGTAGACAGCCGGCGATAGCCGTCGATGTGGATTAGGCCAAGTGAAAAACGCTGGAAACATACGACGGCATGATGATTGACAGCGACCTCCGTGGGAGTTAAACTACTGAAAGTCTTAAGCTGAAGGTCCAATCTTCTCAGGGACTGAACTGTGAGAAGTAAGAGATGACATTTGGAATCTGTTTACCCGATCTAATTGCCGCAATGTTCCATTTCTTCTGAAGAAAATAATCCATCTACACAGAAATGCGTTCCAAAAAAGAGACCGACGGACAATCATTTACCAGGGCCACCATGCCGACAAAGGCGTAAGCTCCCGCTAAAGCCTCGTAAGCCTCATCTCGGACTGTGTGATCCTTCCCCTCCCCTTTCTCCAGCCATGACGAGATGAGCAAATGAACATCCGGCAGCTTCCCTGACCCAAACATCGTATCTCCGCTACCAAATGCTAATACCGACACCAAGGCGAACCACCACAGGTTCGAAAAGCCGAACCAAGCCGATGTCAAATGGGTTTTGCCTAAAGAGTCACGGTCTACAAGTTCAGAGACGGTTAGCAAACCTAACAGGCTATGGCGAACAACGAAACGCTTTAGGTAAGTTAGGGTTGCGGGGAACCAACTCTTTCACACCATAAACTGTTCATCCAAGTTCAGCTAACATGAGTTCAGGATGTTGTAACTGCAGTTGCCTTCGGAATGGGATGGAATGGGATATGCTGCACTTATCTACAGCCCGGTTGGTTCGCTGCTTGCTTGCTTGTGTTGGGATGGAGGAAGCTGTGGTAAGCAAGGGCTCCACAAACTTCTGTTTCGCATCAATTCGCACAGGCTAACCCCTTGGGACTGGCCTCAATTCGGGTTACCTGGTTCAGGGCCTCAATGCTGTCCTCCAAGGGGGATCTGCAACAGCCAATCAGTAGGCGGGTTGCTGACGTCAACTGAGACGGGTGCGATTGAGATTCCAGAACATTGGTGTGTTTGAGGACAGCAAATCTGATATGTAACGACGTAACACACGGATAAAATCAAAACTGGTCTGTATAACTGCTTAGAACTTGTTCACTTTCACAGAAGGGAGGGACCATAGTGAAATCCTACCTAATATTTTGAACAAGGGGGAAATCCAGCACATAATTTTCGTTGAAATCCTGCAGATTTTAGCGTGCTAAGAAAAAAAACTACATACGCTAATTTAAGCGCCTAGAGCAAAAATATTTCCCGATACAAACACTCACTTTCTAAGCGATCCTTTGATTGAGACCGCTGAAAAAATCAGCTGCAGAAGTGTTCCCTTCTCGAAGCTGATGACTACTCCCACCCACCACCTCTCCACACTCCGGACAGCGTGACTCCTGCATTGCACCACCACATTCCCCTATGGCATACACATGCCCATTGCGGCACCGATACCAATGGCCTGTTCCAAAGCCCATCGCCCTGTACACCTCGTCCTTTTCCCGCTCTGTCAGGACAAAATAACGAGGTTCGTCCCGAACAGATGTTTCCAGAGCAGGTAACTCTTCCTGTAACATTTTCCTGGCTCTCTCCCCAAGGGCATTGTTACTGACAGAGACCATGGGGTGATAGGCAACCATGTGGCATAGGATCTTAGCCTTCTCAAGATACTCCAGCTGTTGCGCCTTCGATCCATTCTGCAGAAACGCACGCCAACATGTTAATGTTGTTAATGAATACTTCATATTGGAGTCCCAATCAGCAGAGGAGGGACATGCTCAGAGAACATGGTCCATGCAATGTAAGAACTGTAGTTAGTCATGGATACAGAAATTGCATGACTTACCTGGTCGACAGTGGAGCTAGAGAGCAGGCGCTCAGCCATCATCCCTTCCACATATGCACGATACACGCCAACCAGCTCCAGTCGCGCCCTTGCCTCCAGTCGGTGTGCCATGCACTTGCCAGCCCAATCCACCGCCGCCACAAGACACTCACGAGCATTATTCAGGCACGTGTGCAAAGTTATTCTACATTCACGTACACGCTGGTAAAAGTAATGCTCTATAGTTGGAGCACTTCTCTGTCCAGTTGCATTTCGAAGATTCCTCAGATGGTCCCGTAGCTGGAGGAGGTTCAGAGTCATGAGAAGCTCGTGGCATTTTGCCAGAATGATGAGCGATTCGCAAGGCGGGCGCGCGTCCGGCTGGGGAACGTAGAGCAGACGGCATTCCTCCTCCAACGATGCTGCTGCAGGAATAAAATCACCAGCACCACTCGCCCCGCCTCTCCCACCACTCCATGCCGGGCCCCCCAGCAGCGCGTGCTTTCTCTGCAGAGCTGCTATGCACGCCTGATAAGTCTTCCAGGTGGGTGGATTCATGGATGCAGCACGCAGGCGTTCTGCTTCGGCCATGAAGCCTGTCACAGACTGACCCAACTCGTCTAGGTGCTTTGGCGGAGCATCCCCAGGGCACCTAGCCACAGCTCGGTTAAGCCGCGACAGTCTCCTTTGTGCAGACTCCTGGTCAGCGGAACACTCGACGACAAACTTGCGCTCCGATTGGTCCAAGAGAGCCTTGTTAACCATTCTGCCATAGCGTCGGAGCCCTGTGATTGGCTGGCGACAATCAGGGCAGCCCTTTAAAGCTGAGAGATTGCCATTCTCAAATGGCAGCACTGCCAACCACTTGCCTGCAGTCCCACCTCCAATAGCACCACCCCCTCCAGAAGTATTTCCAGCAGCACCACCCCCACCAACCCTATCCCCAGCAGCACCAGTCCCACCAGCCGCAGCCCCAGCAGCACCAGAACCAGCCGTGCCCGTCCCGTTTGAACCACCACCATTAGCACCACCCAGTGGTTTTGACTGCAGATACACCTCATCCAGCCCAAGATGGCCATCAAGGGTCTCCACAGTGTAAGCATGCCCACATGCCAGCACGAGAATGGGATTTTCGTCTGGATTCACCTCCCCTAGAGTCTCAAGAGTCACCAGATCGACCATATACTCCTTTTTAGGCTTGGACCCGCATTTGGGAGCAGTGCAATATTCGGTAGAGGGGCACTTTTCCCCGCACAAGGAGGGGCACTGGTGGCCGCATCTGAGTTTTTTCTCACAGCGTTTGTCGCAGGGGAGGCGATCACAGGGGGCACCACAGGGGAGAGAGCACGGACCCTGGTGCTTGCAGAACCAGCCGCAAGGCTCGGCGCATGGGGCACAGGTTCGGTGGCAGGACTGGGAGCAGGAGCTGTGTTGGCAGGATACGAGGCATTTTTTACGGCATGGCTTGCAGTCCTTGCCATCGTGACAGATTTCAGAACATAAGTGGCCGCATGGGTGGGGCCTCTTGCACGGAAGAATGCACACCTTGTGCTTCTTTGGAACAGTTGACGTTGATACTTCCATGCCCACTCCCTCCTGCTGCTGCTGCTGCTGCTGCTGCTGCGGCTGCTGCAACCCAGGTGCCTGCTGTTCCTGTCCCTTCTGCTCCTTCTTGGCTTTGTCATCTGGGGCAATGATGCAATCACCGCAGCGATAGTTGCACTCGTGCCCACAGGAATCCGAGAGAACTACACCGCAACGAGCCGTGCAGAGCTTGGGATTGCTCTGCCTGGTTGTGGCCTCACTGCACTTGACTGTCTGCTTGTGGCCGCAAAGAGGCATGGTGACTTCCACTGATGACCTGCGATTGGATAAGGTGCACGTGCATGCATGCATGGGCGGGAACGGTCGAGAGGGTGGCACACATGAGAGAGATGTATGAGGAGATGTGATACCTGATCCATTGAACAATATAAGGTGCGGCAAGCAATGAAGATGTGCATACAAACACCGAAGGCCCCCATTGGATATGCATGGCTCATGCAGAATCAGCATCCATACGCACTGTGGTGTCCAGCCACGAGACCATGCAGAAACGGCAAAAATATGAGAATGTGCACGTAAGCGCCACAACTGTCACACTGCTTTTACGTGAAAAGACCAGAAGGGAGGAAGAAAACTCACGAGCAAGGAATCGAAGCTGGTCGTTGTGCCTGGAAGCACGGAACGTTGACTGCCTTATGCCCACAAGGTAGTGTGACTGCTTTGACCAACACCTTGCATTCGCCACAATCTTCCCCACACTGCTTAGGGCAGGGGTGCTGGTGCGGGCACTGGTCCAGAGGCCGTATGCGGTTACATTCCTTGGGGCAGAATGTCTTGGCATGTGCTCTGTCGTCCCCATGGCACCTGTGGCAGCAAACAACGCACAAGTTGTTGCTCCGATTCCAATCCAAAAAGAGGTGCAAGCACTATTAATGGTACACTAGTAGTTTTTGTGAGCTTTGACCATAAAGCACATGTCGCTAACAAAATCATATGCATGCTAGACATTAGGAACAACAGCATCAAATGAAAATAGTCACAGTTAAACACACCGAGTGAACATTGGAATAGAACCTGTGATTCTGACCTGCGAGGACAGGTGTGCCCACACGGCACGAGTCTGAAGCCGCACATCTGGGAGCATCCGCCCTCACTCGCCTTCTCCTTGAAGTCGCTCGCATTTTCAATGTTTGTGATGGTGTCAGGGTGGTTCACACACTGCAGCGGAATGAACTTCTGAATGCGGTCTTTGCTCTTTAGGATGTTCAGGACCTTCGGCCAAAGCACAGACTTGGGGTCAGCTTTCATCGTGCTGGCATTTCCTGTTGCAAGGGTGGAAATTTGGGCGAAGAAATGGGGGAGTGAACGAAAGAATCAGCATGAAAACTTCATTATATGAGCACTTTCGCGTGCACGAACGCAGCAGGAGCATTAATAAACACCACCCACACCCGTCACGTATCTGTTGTTACATATTCCAGCATCCACCGACAGGGCCATCCACTCACCAACAATGTACATTCCGTGAACTCACCGATGGTGCAGGTCAGACGTAACACCCACCAGCACCCAGCATGTTAGTCTTCATTCAAAATCCAGTATCCATGGAAAGGCCTGGGACTCACCAACAATGTACATGCCATGCTTGGCACGGGACAGCAGCACGTTGGTGCGGTTGGGGCTCTTGAGGAACCCGATCTTGCCGTCACCGTTGTTGCGTACGAGGGAGATGATGATCACCGTGCTCTCCTCGCCCTGGAAACTGCACATGAGCAGAACCAATGTGCAGCAGAAACTAATATCAACTATTCTTCAACAGGCTCCAATCGCTAATTCATTCATCCATGCATGAAGTAGAGATAAGCTACATTTATACAAAAAAAAGGACTTACTTGTCAACCGTAGCCAACCGCACTTCATCCTTCAAATCCGCTGTGGACGGCACGAGAGGGCTCTCTCCTGGTCCCGGCCCCTTGCTCTGCAACCATGAGCCATGTGACGAATCACTATTGCTCCTGCCATCACGTTCTCTGGATCCACCGCCCCTAGCTGCAGCCTTCTCCTCCGCCTCCTCCACCACCTCAGCATCACTCTCCCCCAGCTTCACATTGACCACACGGGAGAGCGCCTGGCGTAGCTTCAGCAGCTGGCCAACGTACAGGGTGAGGATGGTGATCTCCCCTCCCGCGTACCCCTGCTGCAGCAGGTACGTCGCCAGCCCCACCACCAAGTCCACCTCTCCCTCGTTTGTCTTGGACTTGGACTCATTCAGGTAATCACCGCCCTTCTCCGGGCTGTCATGGTCCCAAAAGTGCAGATTTGTTGCCATGCCTCGAACGTCGGGGTAGCTCTGGACAGATGGGTGGTCTGTGAGCTGGGGGTAGATGGTGCTGCGGATGAGGTCGGCGATTTCCGAACGCATGCGGCGCTGTGTGGCGAGGGTGTAAACAGGGATTTGTTTGGAGAGGGCAAGGCGTTCGAAGAGCGAGACATCCAGGTCGAAGCCCTTGTGGGAGTCCTTGCTCAGCTCGTACACCTCCACCTTGGGCCGCAGCTGCAGGTGGTCGCCTGCGATTTTACATGGATGCGCGAATGACAACATCAAGAAATCAGGGCGTTTGGTGTGCTGGGCTAGGAAAGAAAGCATGGATGACAGCAGAATTGTCCTGTCGGATGTAAAATTTCAGATTATATTTTTAACCAGACTTAACCATCATCAAGTTGAACCCATGCGGCTATGCCTATGGCTAGATCAATACGAACTCACATACCAGCAATAGTATGCACATACCCACTATCACACTGGAGTACGTATGAATGCTAGCCAGGAAATGATGGATGCTGTACTGTACCTATGAGGATGACGTGTTCGGTCTGCAGGGTGAGAGACGTGAGAATGTGAGCTTCCAGCACCTCAGCAGCCTCCTCCACGATGATGACTCGCGGGCCGAGCGCCGTGATGAGGCGCTGCATCTTGGCCACCCCGGACGTGGTCATGCCCACCACCTGCGCCTTTCTCAGCACCTGCAGGTCCTCAATATCCATGAGCTCCCGACTCTCCGCCACCTTCCTGCATGCATTGCAGTGCACAGTCACACATCATTGACACTGCCAGTTGGTGCCGATCCACATCACACTAGCCCTCTCAACACTCAAGAAAAGCTTCTTGAAAGCCATAGGAGCTCCTCACAAAAACAGAAAAAAACGTTCTCACGTACTTGGCATGATTGCGAACCTCTGCTTCGATAGCAGCATTGGCAGTCGCCTTGAGCTCCTCCAACCAATGCTTCAAAAGCTTCAGTCTCTCCTGTAAGTTGGTCGCCCATGGATCTTCCACTTCCAACAGGTCCTCCAATGCTCGGTCACCCGACGCGTCCATTGCCAGAGCAATCTGCGTGGTTGCTGCCGCTAGGCTTACTTTTGCAATCTCAACTTCCCGTGCACGATTCAACATCGCCTCCCTGCATCCTTTGTTTCTAACAACAACTGCTTCCTTCGTCCAGCCCTGCTTCCACTCATTCCAGTAATCAAGTGCCACATGCTGCCATATCAAGTATGGTATATGTCAAGTGGAAGAAAATGTCAAAAGGACTGAAACATTATACAATATACCACAAATACATCTGCCAACCGAGCATCAATCACCTTGGACTCGGAAATGTCGGTCTCCACAGGGCTTTGGAGCGCCTCAAAGAACACAGGGTGGTTCGCCATCAAATGGAGGGAGATCAAGTCCCATGACAGGGCCTGGAAGTTATCATTTCTGAACTGCAAGGCCTCGCTGTAGGTTGCAATCACTCTTTCAACCTCTCTCATCCTGCTGTGAACCGAAAACTTTGAGTTCCTGTAGCCTGCACATATGCACACAGAAACAACAGTTACGAGATCTCAAACTTGGCGGTGAACATCTTTTCTTTCTCTCTTCTTTTAGCGGCCTTGAGAGTTGTGAAGCTTACTCTGGCTGTGGTGGGGAGAATACCCTTGGATGATGTTGAAGAGGTTGTACTTTTGCAGAGACTCGGACTTGCTTCTACCGCCCACTCGAACCACCTGCAAATCATGTGAATTACCGGCATATGGCAGCCTCAAATCTTTACGATCCTTTGCACATTGCATGGCAAGGACTACCTTGCGGAGCATAGATAACAGCACGCTGACCAAACAAATCAGCAAAGGGAGATGAAGTAAAGTTTCTAAGCTTACATTCTTTATGCCACTTGCGATCAAGCCCTCCAGGAATTGGTCGAGAGCATGATTGGTGAAGCACACACAGAGAATTGGACCCATGGGATTATCCTTCTGGCTGCCATCCGCCGAATTCGCAAAGGCGTTGTTCAGCAGAACTTCCACGAGCTTGATCCCAACAAAAGTCTGCATTTGATTGCCTGGAGAAGGTTAGCAAAAGAAGTACCAACCAACTCCAGTGCAAGCTTCAGTAGTGGTAATGGTGCACTTGATTGGCGTCTTTCAAAAATGCCCACCTTGCCGGTTCCCGGTGGCCCTTGGATCAGGGTGAACTCTTGAGTCAAGCCAGATTGAAGAGCCGTGCATTGAGGGTGGTCCAGCGATGTGTAGCGCATGAGAAGATCAATCGGAAATTCGTCAGGGTCAGAAATTGGAACGTTCATGATAGAAAACCAATCGTCCGGAGAAACTTCTTGCTGGGAAGGCGAGGCCTTGGTCTGAACTAGCAAGCTCAGGTCATAGCTGCAAGGGACAAGAGGAACATTAGCTGCAATGATATATCTCGAATTTGAACTTTTGGACGCACCATTTTCCTTCCATTCACTTACTGCATGCTGTCATCGACATATGCTGGAAGCTTGGTCGTCAGGCTGGCAGAAGCGCCATCAGGTGTATCACAGATGTATTCAGAGAACGGAAATGATGCGTCACTGATGTTCTGCAGTGCCTTCAGAATCGGCTCATAGGCAAAAAAACTCCCATGTGCTTCCAGCATGAAGACTCGCTTGTTAGCAGAGCCATCATGGGAGATGAGCTCCAGCAGCTCTGCACTGAACCGATTATTCTGACAAGGCTGGACTCCAATCTGAGGCCTCTGATTGGCTAGCCTTCGCGTGTCTCGAGCTGTGATGGTTGCAAAGACAAGCTTCTGGCATCCTGGAACTTCCCTGATATTTTCATGGATGTCCTGAATCCACAGGCAAACCAGGGAACCATTCTGCAGCCTCTTGGTATTCTCCCAAAACTCCATCCTGAAATAAACCAGACAAGATGTCAATGTACAGTGAATGAATTTGCCATATAGGAGCATTACACAAATGACATAATTCACTCGGGCATTTTCACATACCTGCTGCAAGCACGGTGACCTTGTGAGATTGGTGGTTCCATGAAATCGATCAGAAAATAGACACCATTCTTCTTATCAGCATTGATTGATAAGGCCCGGACATCCTGAAGCATGTACATGTCCATGTCGTCTGAAGAGAACCCCACCATTCCTTTCATGTTCACAGCCAAACCCTTCACCAAGCTTCGATCTGCCTTCACAAGTCCCATCATGGCCCCTTCCCTGCTGACACTGTTGTTTTCACGAGTGGATTTTTCACGCTTCAAGCTCTCCAACAAGAAAAAGGCCTTATTCCAGAGAGGAGCAACGAGGTCGTGCCTGAGAAGGCGGAACTGGATGTCCACATGGCGTCCTACAGAGCCAGCAGGGAGGTGATGACGCTCCTCCACATTATTGCGGGGCAGATAGGGAGAAACATTGCAAAGAACTTCTTCCATGGTTGGAGCCACGGAAATCTGCACAAAATAGGGAGATGTTATGAAAATAAATAGAAACAAGAACTAATATGGAAATGTTTATCACTCATCACATGGTAACATCTTACTGCTGAAATGTCTGCATGGTCATTATCATGCCTTGGGTGGCCAGCTAAGCTGAGCTCACCCGGACCATCCACAGCTTGCATGGCCGAAAGCTGCCGACCTGGAACAGCGAGGCAGAATCATCTCAAAAACAAATTCGGGAATAAAATATGTATGCCCTTATTTTTTGTTTTACGACGAACCTGGTTCGTAGGAGACTTCAACTGGCGCCTGACCAATCTCTTCGCTCTGTCGCTGTCTTTCGCAATGACTGCGCCTATCAAGAGACTTCCTCAGCCTGCGAATGGCAGAGTAGAGGCTCAGGTACTTTCCCTCAGACACTGGCTTCTCAATCTGCCATTTCTCAAGCATAGATTCAAGCTCCTGCATGTCAGTGCTGGCTTGTGTAGCGTCAAACAAGGAGTGGAAACGGTCCATTGTCAGGTGAAAGAAGTTGATGATAATCTGAAATGCCGTGTCCCAGTCCTTAACGCCGTCATCTTTTTTCTCGGGGTCACTTATTGTTCCCCTTTGAGTCAGAAGCCTCATGCAGTTGACGAGGTACTCTTGAAACCCTTCCACTTCAACCATAGTTGCGAGGGTGGTGTTAACCTTGCTCGAAGCAGGGTTGTTGCAAAACTCAGGCTGAAAATGCAACGAAACATAAACCAAGGTGAACATTCAGGAACTAACGAAGATAAAATCAATACGAGCAGAATCACGATCTGGTACCTGGCAAACGACTCGTAACAATGGCAACAGAACACTCTGGAAGGAAACCCTCTTGGAATTGTTTCCAGCTACTACTGATTCTGAAGAACCGCATGCAACAGCTTCCTGACAGATACTGATCAGCTTCTTCCTGCCGTAATACTTGTCATTTGCGAGGTCAATGACCAAATCTGCGAGGACGAACATGTGTTAGAAGACGGTGCTCCTTGCAACATCCAGCGTTCCTACTAACTAATTTAGTACCTGAAGCATCGTGAGCTGCCATTGCGAGGACGAATCTTCTCATTTGAAACTGATTCGTCAGTGGTCTGTCGTTCGGCATGAACGTCCAAAAGCTCGGGCCACTTGACTCTGACTTTTCCGTCCCTTTTCCTCCTACAATATTTTTTCCATTCTTCCCGTTCTCTACCCCGTCTCTAATTCCATCGTCCCCTTTCTCTCCTCCATGACTGCATCCTTCGATCCCATCACTCTCTCCAGTTCTACTCTCGTTAGTTCCGTTTCCTCCTTCATTTCTGTTTCCTTGGCTGCACTTTCCACCACGATTCCGACGTCTATCACGCTTTCTGTTCTTAGCATTCCTCTTTGTTCCAATTTTGTCAGTATCCCGGCCACGTTTATTGCCGACTCTAGGCCCGCCAGACTGGGAATCCATGGCGTAACCACCAAGAACCAGTCTAGGTAGTGGAAACAGGGTCGCGAAATCTGTCTACTGGTAGTCATCATGGCTAAATAGCAACAGCGAGGAGCTGGAGAACACAGCAATGCCTCATATGTCACGAACATAATCAGTGATGATGGTAAGGTCATGAAATGAAACCACTGATGCTGCTGGTTTACTTCGTTCACGCCTTGTCCACGCCTTGCTCACGCCTAATTTTCCCCTTCTCAGGCCAGGGTCGGAGCTGTGTGCATGTCTAGTTGCGAGACTCGCAAATCTTCGCTTAACCTGGAAACCAGACGCTTTCGGTTTTTGTCTAATTGCGAAGGTTCGAAATTTTCGGTATAGAAATGCCCGAATACGGCAAGAAGAAATGTCGATACAGAATACCTTTGATTTGCACTACACGTCTCCACCTACACATACTTCCCAAACCCATCTTTCACAGCACAGAGCGCATTATGTAGACCTAGTCCAGCAGCCCCAACTACAGTGCGTCCTCCTCATACTCTAATCGAGGCACTTATTGTCGGCACTACAGTCGCGGCCTTTCCCATGGTTGTGCATCAGAGTCGAGGAAATCGGGGTTGAGAAAACGCGGTTTCCCTCCACAATCGCGACTCAGGGAATACCCGGCAGACACTCGAGAACAAGCAGGCTGGACATCTCTGTCTGGACATCTCTGTCTGGACATCTCTGTCTGGACATCTCTATGATAGGATCGAGAATCTGAACCTCATAGAACTCTCGTCACACGAAGGCTTTCTTGCGTAGACACAAACGCGCTTCTTCCATCAGTTCTCCCGCCTCCACCTTTCCATCTCGCTCGCATAAGTTTCCGTCGACGCGAAACTTTCGAAAAGGAGCCATCTCCCTGGTCTTGTTCCTCAGACGTCCCGTTTACCGTCCTTCCGTCGGTTGCCCTGCTTCCTGCTGCAGTAGTTTTCGCGCGGTAATTCGCACACTCTTATCGGTCTCAACGCTAGCGTATTCCCTTATTCCTGGAATTCCCGGATTCCGATCTTCCCTCATGGGCAGACCTCGTTTATGTCACATCATCACTAGCAAGCGGCCACAACAATGACGAGCCCGTCGAACCACGTCAGCTTCGGCAGCAGCGTCGGCGGCAGCGGCAGCTTAGGGATCCTAGG